TCAAGGCATACAAAAGCGGGGGGTAAATTTATCCCCCAGATTTGCCGATCAACGAGTGCACCCATGTTGTTCCAATGTACCCTTCCCAGTCGGCGATGTCACATTTACATTCTTTAGCGCAAAGTATGTGCGTAATTAGCAACCTTTCTCCCAGCACATGTAATCACTACATGCTTTGCCGACTATGTAACTAGTACATCCGGTGCGATTCGGCTAGCTTTCGACCTCCTCCCCCTGGCCTCAAGTCTGGTTTGTTTTGTCCTCCTTTCATGTCATCATTCGTTAGTCCTTTTTGCGCGCACATATGCACACTAGTCGTAACCTTAGTTTTTCGCCTCCCTAATCGGGGGGCATGTGTGTGAAACCCTTGGAGTCATAGGGCTTCCGTTGAAGTAGTAACTTTTTGAGCAGGGGACCAGGCACATTGTCGCCTGGTCAACGAAGCTGGCAATGTGCCTGAGGATATGAAAGCGGGATGCCACTTTTACGTACCTGCTGAGTTGTGGTGTTTGCAAGCTGTCACTCCACTTTTCACTAAAGGGCTAACGCATTTGCAGACTTGAGCGCTCGTCGTCAATTTGTCGGTCGCACATGCCGGACACTTTTGGTCTCCTTCCTTTCCACAAGACCTCCAGGACGTTTAGAACCCCGTACACGCTTTCTCAGGAATATGGGTACCTATAGGTTAGCGAGTGGCAAACCGCCATCGAGTCAGTGCGCAATATCTTGAGTGGGGGGCCAGTGGGGGGGGTCATTTTGAGAGTCGACGTGTAGGTTCCAGGGTATCCCCACCTGCTTTACTGCGGCCACCCAGAAGTTATTCTCCCAAGGACTGCATGAGATCGGGGAGGTCTTGCAGAGTATGTTTGGCACTCGGGTTGTTCAACTTGCCTTGCTTTGGACCAGGAATTTTGGGACATCTTATGGTAATTTACTATAAGAAAAAATTGGTCTGGACGCTTCAGCCTCAAACAAAAACTCCTAAGTCGCTCCTCTCGCCTCGATAGGAGCTGCGGTTCTTTCGAAGGCAGCATCGCATGCGCGGGAGGCATTTAGGAGCATTGCTGGTGTGTTTGGGACTCTTTTGTGCTCTGCTGGCCGCGACACTGAAACTCTTGGCAAGGCCAGTCTGCCTGAATCAGGCCCAACGCATGGCCAAAATGAGCGGTTCTTGTTTTTACAAGGTGGATCTGGGAGGTTAGCTCTCTTTATATAATGGAGCTCCAGTCCACCTCTTGGTCTGCATTTCAGTTGAAACATTGGTCCAATGGAGAGCGAACCAGGCCGCCCTCCCCATTTTTGATGGGTACTTTCACCACGAAAAACTTCGATGCTGCCAGACAACCTTGACATGTTCATCAAGTTTTCAATTTTCCTACTGACTGAAGCAGCATGGCTTCATCGTAGTGACTGACTTCTTTTTCGAAGCATCAATTCCCAAGAGAGGCACCCTGTACGGGGTACATATGGGATGGGCGAAAAGGGTTGAAAACCATCTGTTGGTCCTCTACCCTGACAAGGTCTCGCTAGTACCGGGATCGCTGATGGACCGCTTCTCGGCAAAATCATCCACCTCCTTGCGTGCGCATGACCCCTTGCGCCAGATGGGCGCTTTCGGCGTCCGGCATGACAAGATGGTGGCTTCACGGATGATGGGCTTGACGCGGGGGATGGCGCGATGTGCGAAAAAGAGAAATGAGCTGGAGAGATAATGGGATTTAGGATTGAGCCGCTCATTCTAAGCCTGGGAAGAGGAGGTCTCGAGCAACGCAGGAAGTTAAAAAGCCTGCGCACGTTGAAGATGAAAAGGTGAGAGGATTGGGGGGCATCTTGAACTTTTGCAGTCGTGATTCAGATTCTTGCTTTAAATGACAAACCGAAGGACTTTGTTGATATTCATTAAGAGGAATCCACTTGCATGGTCTATCGCCAGTCCGAGGCGGTCCGTTTGTTTCTCCACAGCACTCGGGAAAATCGGTCGACCGGGTAACGGGGTCTTGGACTCACGAGACGCGTTTGCCCTGCCCTGCCCTGACTGGGCAAGCGGGGGGGTGAATCGATTATGAGCCCTAGCAACCTCTAGATTTCGACAAAAAGTTCTTGATCCTTTTGGATCTTAAGACCTCTAGATTTCTCAATCTCAAGACTTCTCTGGACTGACTGACACTTCTACACCTCCAGACCTCTGGATCTCTACTAGACATCTACAGCTCTAGATCTGTCTGGATCTTAAGAGCGGATCTCAAGTGCGTCCTAGACCTCTAGACCTCAGGCTCTAGGCTCTGGACCTCGAGAACTTGAGTTTTGTAGGTTCTAGGCCTCTAGATCCAGACCTCCAGACCTCTTCTTTTTGGATCCCAAGACCTGCCTGGATCTCAAAACCTCTAGACCTCTCAAACTCTAGACCTTGAGACCTGTGCATTGCCTCTATACAGTATCTCTACTGACCAAGAAACCTTTGGATCTTAGGCCTCCACACCATCCAAGTCTCTCTGGATCTCAAGACCACTCGACCTCTTCATCCCTGGGCCTGACCTCTAGACCTCTAGGTTCTAGGCCTAGACCTACAGCTCCAAGCTTTAGATCTCGACCTTGTAGATCTCTAGGCTCCAGACCTCTGGATCTCTAGACCTCTAGGGCTTTTTGGATCTCAAGACCTTTGGATCTCAACACGACCTCTCAAACTCCAACCCTCTAGACCTTGGCACCTCTAGGCTTTCTGGGCCCCTAGACCTAGAGTTCTTGAATCTCAAGACCTCTCGACCCTTAGCTCTCTAGGCCTCTAAAACTCTCTAGGATGTCTAGCCGCTCTTCTTCTCTCTGATGGATCTCAGGACCTGTTTGGATCTGACCTCTAAAGATCTGGACCTCTAGACCTCTAGATTCTGGAACCCAGTACGTCTAGATCTCTAGACCTTAGACCTCTAGACTCTAGACCTCAAAACACTGTTTGGGGTCTCTTGCCGGAATATGGTTTTTGTAAGACCCACATCTGTCACATCAGCCCTCATCCCATTCTTTTTGTGTTGCCCACCTCGGCCCGTATGTTCTCAGGCACGAGATCAGGAGCGGCAAAGCTCCAAGCAGGCTCCGGATTCGTTCGTTCGTCGCCCGACGCGACCCGTTTCGGATTCGCCGGAGACGACGGTGCTTTTAGGGGCTCTTGGTTCTCGGGGTGCCGGTCGGGTCCGATCCAAGAGCAGGCTTTCTCCTTGGGTGTATGATGAATGAACAGAAGGGAGACCTCTGAGCAAACATATAGCTCCTGGCCTTACTACTAGGAGCAAAGGGCATCGCTACTAGTAGCAAGGACGCTAATTGTTCCTCTGGTTTTAATAGGGTCTTGGAGTCTCCTTATTTCAATGTATACCCATACATATTTATATTTATGTCTTAAGTCTTGCATGGTTCCATGGTTCTTTGTTTGCGTTTTCTTTTTCTTCCGACCGCTTACTTGCTCCGGTCCTTCGGCCAACACTCCCACTGAGGCCGATCAGAAGTTTAAAATAAACCAAGCGAACGTGAACCATCACCTTTTACCATCCAAGAGAGGTTTTTCACAGCCCTTTTTCGCCCGTTCTATATGTACCACTCCACTACTACACGGTCCTAAAAGAGCACACTTAGAAGACGTGCTTGACGTTTCACCCCTATGGTGCCCGGTGCTGTGCGTGAGGTGTCTGAAACCATTGGCCGTTCTGTACTTGAAGAGACCGTTGACGCCGAGGATGTCGAATCCACTCGACTGGAACAGGAACAGTTTCGTGTGATTCACGACTTGGCCAAACGAGTGGCCAAGATGGAACCCGAGGACTCGAGCAACTTTGCGAGGCACTCAAGCATGCAATGTGTTGAGTTGTGGTGCTCGGGCACTCCACTGGCTCAATCAGGATCTTCATGAGTTCAGCTTCCCTGTGCCGGTGATTCAAGACTTCTGGAGTCACAGCTGGCATGGCAGCCGGTGGTTGAAAAGGTTACTTTTGCTTCTCCTCTACAACGGGCCAGCAGCAACAATCCTCGCCATTCTCTCAGCCTTCGGGATGATGTGTTTGCACACTGCAGGCTTTTTGCCGGGATTTGAGCCTAGAGTGCAGCAGAGCACCTTATTTCATGTGGGTTACGTGTTGGAGGTGCCTATTTCATTTCCTTTAAGGGGAAGGTTTTGTTTTGTCTCCCAGCCTGTGCCTCATTTTCCACACACCTCTATCCATTAAACAAGTTTAGCGTCTTGCAGCTGTGCTACAAGTTATGGACAATGCAATTTGGCGGAGCAGATAGCCTCTTGTGTTGGTATTTCTTTTGTTGGTGATGACACTTGGAAACGGAAAAAAGGGATGTTTCTTTGGTTTTGAGATCCTTTTGTTCAGGAGCGAGGAACCAGAGGCACTCTTGAAGCAGATGCAAAGCTGGTTTTCGGTCCATGGTGCACGCTGACAGGCGGTCTCGTTTCTTTTCACTTGCAGATCCCGTCGTTAGGTTTTCTTTGACCAAATCTGCATTAACCAGTATGATCAAGATCTCAAGTTCAAGGGCATTGTCAACATTGGAGCATTCCTGAATTATTCCCAGAACTTTCTTCTGATATGGGACGAGACATTTGCTGGACGGCTGTGGTGCATGCTAGAGCTTGCAGCATTCTTGACGAGCCATGAACATGCAGAGGCAAAGGTTGTCATCAGGCCAACAGCTATGGCTCCCTGCATTTTCATCGTTTCTTTGGCGATTTGGGCTTCTCGTCGAGCCAAACCCAGCCTTTTGACGCTTTGATATTTTTAGATTCGTTCGGATTCTGTTTTGCTGTTTTCGGCGCAGTCAAACGGTCCAGGGTGTGCGTTTCATCCCTCTGACCAAGTGAGGCTTTTATTCTTGCAATGGACCCTTTTCGACGGCGAAGGCTTTCTGGATATCCTACTGCTCTTCATGGCACGGTGGGTCTCTTCGTACGTTTGCTCTGCCTTCTTGCGCGCACATTATCGGAACTCAGAGTTGATGCTCGGGCAAATGGGCCAATTCACCCTGGAGAGTGTTGATTGTCTTTGTTGCAAAAGAAAGCACCGCAAGGCCGAATGTTTGAACCTGTGCTCCCTTTAACTTGCTTATAGTTTGAATGTTTGAATATGGTTGAATGCTGGAGGCCATCGCTCTTAGGTTGGAGGCCATCGCTCTTAGGTTGGAGGCTATCGCTCTTAGGTTGGAGGCCATTCCTAGAAATGATGATAGTCTCTTGCGATTTGCGAAGGCGAATGGATGCCGTATGATCTGTGACTGTACCGTCATGGTGGAATGCCTTCGGAATGGTATGGCTCGGTGGAGACCTTTGAGGAGATGGTGCGGAAGCGCATCAGGAGCATGCTGTACCGCCAGCTGGGTGGGCTGTTGTTTCCATACGGCTGGCAACTGGTTGGCGCGTCGCCGATCTTGTGGGGTTTTGCAGACCTCGTGGCCGCTCGCACCCGCGTGGGTCACTGGAGGGAGGCTGCGTACTTGGGGGTCGGTGCGCTGACATTTTGGCTCGTTCTATTCCCCTTTGTGTTTCAAGTGACGCTGCTGCTTGCGAACTCTTCTGCCAGCGTGCGGGCTCGGTCTGGCTGGATCAGCTCAAGACGATCTCTGTGGCGTTCCTTTTGACTTTGCTCTCCTTTATTGGAAACGCGACCATGTGGTGGGTGCACGACCCTTTCACCGCGTCCCTCTGGGTTGGTGGTTCCATGCTGCTTTTTGCGGTCACCTGGATGGCGCTTCGCCTTCAGGTCCGGCAGCTGGAAGACAGACTGGCTGCGGAGGATGGTTTTGCTGGAGTGCTGACCAAAAGGCCACGTGGTGAGTGCAGCTTGGACTTTGGGAAGAGCCTCTCACTCCTTTTTTTAAGGCTCTCGACGACGCGAAAAGACAAACACTTCACATAAAAACGAAGACTGGACGACGAGACCACCTCTTTTGAATACTTTCTGTGTGAAGTGAACCCCACAGCGTGCGCCACGCGACAATGGATCGCCGATCCAAGATCGATCCAATCGGGCATTCAACTCTGCAGCCTAAGGATGGTGGCTCACCTGCTTCAACGCAGAGTTGCAGCTTGCAGAGGCTTCACGTTTCACTGAACGGCTCAATTGTAGCTATCTGGACTCTGGAGCTTCCAGATCTGGACTTCCAGAAGACCCTGACCCAAATTTGGGTCAAATACCCAAACAAAGTTGTGGAATGCTTGCATGCAGCATGTCTTTTTTGCATTTCTCCTGATGCGTGAGCTAGGTGAGGAGGTGGAACTTTGACCCACACCTATACCTCACGAATTCACGACCAATCCCTAGACTCCGATTTGACTTCCTGCAAAAAAAAAGAATCCTGCAGCGGTGGACCAGTCCTGACGTGGTGTGGGGGTGTGGCGGTAGGTGTGTCTTTCTGCTCCATTCAATTCAGCTGCATACGTCAAGTGGAAAGCAGCTGGATGAAGACATTGGAAGATGAACCATGATGAACCTATGAAGGGTCTGAGGCTGGGATCACCCAGTGGAGGCACCAAGAAGAAGGAACAAACAGGCTTTCAACACTTACAGAAACTTATAGTACTAGTCTGATCTAAGCATGATGATGAGCAATGTTTGTTCACTGGGTGTGACGTCGCAGCCACCCTATCACCCATCGCACCCCATCTATCCAGCGCTGTTGTTTCAGCTCTTGCTGTAGGAACGCCAAGCCATTTTGAGCTATGCCATTGGGGAGACCGAAGCAGTGATCGATAAGGTGGGACGCTGCGCAGAAGCGGCGCAGGCAGCTCAACTGAGTCCGATTCGAAGAATTTCCAGAGATGAGGAGCTTCGGACGGTCCACACATCGCTTGGGCTGGAAGACGAGTCTGAGAACATACCGAATCACCAAAACACCTCCATCCAAATCCCGTCAAGAAATCATTCAAAGCCAAGGAGGTTCAGCAACAGATTTGATCTCTTTGGTATTTCGGTCTTTCGGCTGCAGGGTTGAAGATTGAGAAAGGTAGGTAGACACTCAAAACTCCAAACCATTTTGGATACATTTGGATCTCCTCAACGACCTGGGGTAGGTGGAAGAATGCCACCGTGGAATGAGAGAAGATAACACATTTTGTATGCCCCCAAACACGTATGACTCAAGAGTTGGCAGCACGACCCCCGTGCATGTTGAAAGGATCGAAAGTAAAAGGATCCACCCGGCAGGGGAGTGTTCTAGTGATGTTTAACTGGTCGGATGAGAGCCTCCCTCTACCGAATCCTTAATGGAAGAGTCCTCTTCATCTTGCTGAACACTGATCACTTCGGGTGATGAGCGTTCGCTGAAACCGACACATCTCCAACAAAGTCGAGCCGAAGACGGCCAAGAACCATCAAAAACCACGCCTGGAGGCCTGGAGGGGAATTCCTGCCGGGGACCGGGGAAGCTGCTTGATCTTTCTTTTGATCTACATCCACCAGGCGGAAGCTGCTTGCCATGAAGCCAAAGAGGACGCCGACAGGCCCAAGCTCGAACAAGGGGTGGCGCCGTCTTATATACTGAGAACAGCTGCCATGTGTTTGCATTGTTTGGTTTTGGAGTGAAGATCTTTTGTTTTTCATGTCTTTGGGTAGTCGGGTACATAGTACTCAGAGTTTCTTCATGCTCTTGAGCACAGCAGTTTGGTCACGCCCACAACTTCAGAGTCCTCAACGTGTCTTTGGCACCACTGCACAATGAGATCTGCGTTGAGCAAAAACACCAATGTTTGTTGTTTGAACTGAGAACTTCCCTTAAGCCTTAAACTCCCCTTATAACGATAATTCTTACTCTTAAGTGCTTGTATTTCATGGAGTCATAGAGCATGCCTTCCGACAAAAAATCCACCACGACTCGGTATTCCCCCTTTCAGTGGCGAAGGGTTCGTTCGCCTCGGTGTCCTCGCCGTCTCGGACTCCGAAGCGGGACTCCGAAGAGGTCGATGGACGGAGCGTGTCCGATTTCACATGAAAGGACGCTACGTTCGGAGCTCCTGGCCTCGCTACTAGGAACAAGGATGCTACTAGTAACAAGTGCATCGCTTCTAGTAACAAGTGCCTTACTAGTAGTAACAAGAAGCTACTAACTAGGGGCTCCTGGCCTTACTACTAGGAGCGATCGGACGCTACGAACGGGGCATCGCTCTTAGGTTATCGTGACATCGTGATGAAACGCCGTGTGACTTCTGGCGGATTCTTTGAAACTGCGCACTCTCGGCGTTCTCGAGGTGGATTTGCAGGTGTATTGACTCGACTATTATTAGATTGACTGCTGTGCCATTGGCATTTGCTCTTGAATTGCTTGCCTCCAAACTGTGTTCGTGACAAGTCTCAGGCGACATTGCGATCTGGTGAAGCAGCAATGTGACGAGGTCAATCCAAAAACATGTGGTGTGGCGTAGTCACTTTTCGTGGCCTGCACAGTACTTTGTTCTGCTGGAGGTGCTGGGAGGCAGTTTGCGTGGCAGTTGTAGGGAATGAGGTTGCGACGTTGGTGCAGGTGAACGTCGCTGTGCAGTTGGGATTGGTGTGTCGGCGGCTGCTTTTTCAACAAAGCTTAAATTGCGAAGCCGGTGGGCAGGGCAGGGTGATGTGTTCGCTCTGATGAGACTTCCGGCTTCGATACAAGAGTGTTGTAGAAGACCGTCACAGCAGAATGTCGTACAAGAGTTACAAGAGTGTTTTGAGTTTTGAGGAGAGTCTTAAAAACCATGCATTCTTGTTTTTGCCAGCCAGGAGAAAGGTTTGATACCAGGTTTGGATTGCAGCTTGATGATTTGAGAGTCAAGCCAAGCCATGAATACTATATATAATTTGCACCGGGATCTCTTGCTGACCACCTTGGTTCAGTTTCAATGAGAGCATTTCTTGAGATGTCCTCTAATAGCGTCCTTGCTCCTAGTAGAAATGCCAGGAGCCCCTAGTAGCGTCCTTGCTCCTAGTAGTAAGATGTAGTAAGGCCAGGAGCCCCTAGTAGCGTCCTTGCTCCTAGTAGTAAGGCCAGGAGCCCCTAGTAGCGTCCGATCGCTCCTACTAGCGATTTCATACCAGTTTCTTCCAACACTTCCAGGCTGTCCGAGCTGCAGGGCACGGGGCTTTCATCCTCTGAAATGTCCGAGGCTTGCCAAAAGGCAGGGTCCGTTCGAGGTTCCGAGTCCGGTGTGTCGCCAGGTTCGAACCCAGCAGTCCAAAGTTGGAAGTAAACCCCGGTCTGAGCACAAGAGATTTGCACCCTAAGGTCTTTGGGAATCATATCGCAAACCTACGGTTCCTCAGCGTAGGGTGAGAAAATCCTTGACTTTGTTCATGGGCTGCCGGTGGCCAAGTGATTTCAGACACCCAAGCTGACCAGACACCCTCGGGATAGTCTTAAGTCCTTTCGACAGAAAAGAGATGCCCCTTTTGAATGTCTTGGGCCTTTGGTCGCTCCACACATTTGGGGAACCGAAGGCATATATAATTTGTATATTAAACATTATCATATTATATTGCTTTATGTTGCAACCCTTTTTTTTGAGCGTCCGGCTCTCAGTCTTTTGCAGACCCAGTAGGCAGAGATGCAGGTTTTTCCAAGTCTTCATTTCTTCAAAATAAACCGAGTCTTTAGGGCCTTTGGGTTCTTCCGCTGGCGATCCCCCCCCCCCTTCGCTCCACCTCAGGGCGATGGATTGCCAGCGAAAGTCTCATCAGCCGATTCTTCCCGATCTGGTCATGTCCGGTACGGTGATGTTCTTTTTTGAGCTCAAGCTGGCTTTCAGAAAGATTCAGAAAGGATGCCAAACCACCTGATGGATATGATTCATCGCACGATTGACCGTTTGATCCATCATTACAGGTGATGTTCACATTGTTCACTGCCTTGAATTGCTGGAGAATGGCCGGACACATTGGGTGGCCTGCGATTTGGGCTGTGTGTTTTTGTGTCTTCAGTGGATCCGATCAAATTGAAAAGTCCCTTTCATCTCACTTTTCATCTCTTCACCGCTAGACCTACCTCACGACTGGTCTGGCCGGAGAAAGACCTGGTTTGCCAAGCGGTTGGTCTCGAGCAACGAACGGTTCCGGGCTGTCAGGTGGCGGCACGGGTGGCGCAGGCGGAGGAGGAACTGGACCTGGCCAAGCGTCAGGCGGAGGAGACGGGTGTCCTCCGGGACTAGAAGTGAAGCAGCGAGGGATGAGCGGGCTTTTTGCGAGGGTCAAGGTATAGAGATTGATGGAGGATAACACCTCCGAGATCCGAGAAAGCTGAACGTCCCAATGCTCTGGCTCGGCTTTTGGTTGACGATGCACACGAGAAGCGCGTTAAGAAACATGCGCGGACTCCGGCAGATGACGGATGCGATCCCAGGTGATCCCAATGACGGCGCCAGGCGTTCGAGGTCGGTTTGAGTCTGTGGAACCGACTAATTACACTTGGTTCCATTCTGAAACATTCTGAAGGATGTTTCATTTTGTCAACCTGGGTCTATCATTTAGTGATATTTAATAGGGGACCCTCAACCAATGGGTAGGTAGACCAGGCACCCCGGGCTGATGAGTATTGTTGGACTACCGTTTGCAGGGCCCCCTGCAGTCGTAACTAGTCGCCTCTTTGGGGGTATGTTTTTTCTTACTGAAATCCAA